ATGCACAGTTGTTGTTGTTGTCTTTCGGCTACAGTGGATCACCATGGGGATATTTTATTTGGCATAGGTTTTATGCTGTAATGCCCTTCCTGGCGCAAGAAGGATGATGCATTAGTGAACATCCTAAATTTAAACAATGGAAGTATGATGGAGAGATGGGATGAACAGAAGCAGGATGAGGTTTAGGAAAAGGACAAAAGAAGGATAAATGAAGCCAAGAAAGAGAGAGAAAAAGAAAGGATAGATGAACAAAAAAGGAGTAGATTAAAGCAAGACAAAATATGCAAAAGGGACAGAAGAGATAAAAAGTAGCAAATAAGAGAAAAAAGAGAAGGAAGACTGAAAGAAGGAAAAAAATAGCACTAAGGGAGAGATGGGAGGAGGGCGACGATGGAAGAGAGAAAACAGCTCTACTGATAGAAGGATAGATTGATCCAGACAGGACAAACGGCGGTCTGACTGATAGACAGTAAAGCATGATGGGAAGGCTAACAGCTCTCCTGAAAACACCCCAAAAATTCTTTTAGACCAAACTTATGTGGTCAAACTTTGCACTTGAAACTAAAAGAGACCCTCAGATTTTATTGATTGTGAGAGCAGCGGAGTCGGAGGCTGACAACAAGAGATTGTCATGGAAAGAGGAAGATTCAGGAGGCGTGTTTGCTTATTGCAACTTTTTAAATCTGCCTCCACTTCGCTCAATTTCTGGAGACAGCCAAGGTAATTCAAATCGATTCTAAGTCCTTCAATTACAGACACACTGACAACAGTTTGGAGAGAGGGAAATGGATTTTTCATGCTCATCTGCGAGCCAAGGCCAAAGCTGAGGACCGCAACAGCAGCGCGGTAACAAAGCACAGCGCTCTGACAGCCTCGGCTCCTCCTTCACTCTTGACGTTTTTACTCTCTCCCGCACTGTGTTGCTTTTCCTCCTTAACACCTGTCGACAACTATTTTCTATGATTTCAGGCTGGTGGTATGACAATAACGGCGGTGGACAGGAGAAGCTGGATCCGCTCTCTCCTTTTAGATTTCTGTGAATGAGAGGAACAAAACAAACACGCTTCCTTTCCGTGTTTGTTTGGTCCCTTGGGGGAGGAATATGTTTGCTGTCTTTATATTAGAACTTCTGCATGAGCACATGTTCATACTGTACACAAAGATAGACACTGCACTCTCACACACACACACACACACACACACACACACACACACACACACACACACACACACACACACACACACACACACACACACACAAACTCTCGTGGCCCTTATCAGTCCGCCAACTGCTCGACAGATGCACAGGCAGAAAATTGTAAATATTGAGCAACTCCTTGTCCCTGAAAGATGAAGTACAATAGCCACAGGCAATTCATGCCGCTATTGCTTTTTTTTATGAACTAATATGTTCATAGTTGTTGCTTCCAAATTACTCAATAAATATCCAATACTTCCTGAGAGATGGCCTTGACCCTGTTGTCTGAAAGAATGCTTTTCACCAGCAGCGGCTCTCCCAACACACTTTAACACTGAAGGCAGCTTCATAAAGTGGCAATTACCGTTTTGACATCAATTCAGAAGCACATAAAAAAAACTGCCGTGTTTTTTTGCGAAAGCAAAATGGACAATTACAGAGACAAATAAAGTGAAGCACCAAGGGTGAAAAGGAAAAGTCCCCCGCCATAGTAATTCAGCTTAATTAAAGGAGCAGCTCGCCCCAAAGGGTCGTTTAAAACAGCACTCCCTTTCTCTCACCTCCAGAGGTATTAGCTGAGTTAAAAGCAGCGGGCCACATGATAGGAGTCTTCAGGCTGACCTCCAAAGCTTCTTTCCCCCTCATCTATATTTATATGAAGAAGCGACACTAATTTTGCCCAGTAAATCAGTGTGCACATTTTATTGTGACCTCCAGCTTGACACTGAATTAAACAATATCAGGGCCCGAGAAGCCCGCTTTAACAAGCCTTAAATTCCTCCGTCCAATCCATCAGCGGGGATATTTCTGACACACGGAGGGAAGAGCATGAAATAAGGCAATTATTGAACCCTTCAGCCCATTTCTACGGCTTGGCTGGCTGGCACGCTGCAGCACAGAGACACAGACCTCTGAGTTTGTGTCTGGAGATGACTCTTGTCGATAGGGACGCTGGAAATTAATATGTTACAAATAAATTATAGTAGTTAGCAAACAATTTCACTTGGTATCTCTTTCTCTACTTCGTGTCAAGGTTGGCAGCAGCATGTCACTTCTAGCTATATGACAAACAAGCACATGTAGCGACCACAGCAATCAGCAGATGGTGTGTCTGGAGTCCCCTTGACTTTGTCCAACAAAAAAACAAGTCACCAGTGTTTGAGAGACGAGCTCCGGTTTGACACAGAGACTCAGTTTTCTCTGAGTGTTCCTCTCTGGTGCTCACAGGAGGGGAGGAAAAAAACTGTGCTATGCGTGTGTGTCTTTCATGGAGGTGGCAGTGGATCCTGTGTGTCTGGGCGTGCTCTCAGATTGCCTGACAGATAATCCATCACGCAGTCAGTGTGTCTGACAGGAAGAGGTCTCAGTCAACTCTTTGTCTCTCTGTGCGGCTCGTATAGGGCCTATGAAGGACAGTCGCTCCTCTCAAGTCTCCCTTGGGACGACAAACACTTGAGTTTCATTTGAATACTGAAGGTGGGTGATTTGAGGAGTTCGAGTCTGTGAGTGAACCGGTCAGCAGACGAAGAGCAAATCACTGAGGGAAATAGTGTGAACAATATAATATGCTGTGTGGTATACTTCTGAATTTTGTGTGTACCTGAACGAGTTCTCTGAGCTCTTGTTTTTACACTACTGCAGATGAATCCAAATCAGTGTATTAATTAATACAATGCATCGAAAAATTGTGTCACTTTGTTCTTGCGTAACCTTTGAGTAAAAAGTTCTTAAGCCACCAAAAACTGGCTGTTGACATCAGGTGTTTAAGACAAAATCTGTTTTCTTGACACTGAAACTGAATGTCATTTTACAGATCAAAAGCCAGTCATCCATAACGTAGTGATGTGTGTAAGTGTTAAGTAATGAGGGTGAGTGTATGTATTAATGATGATCTCTCTTAAGTTTAAGTGTCCCTTTGGTCGAGTTGAGCTGCAGCGATTAGTCGAATAATTGATCAGTCGACAGGAAATCAGAAATAGTTAAGCATTTGATGTTTGCAGCTTCTCGGATGAGAATTCGCTGCTCTGTTGTAAAATAAAAGTCTGTTACAACAATCCTTGTGTTTTACTTACATTTTTAAAACCTACTGTATAATTTTAACAAACTGAATTTCATTGTATATTGGACATCTCACATTTTTCTGTTTTTCAGTTTTCTGATGATTTATAGATTAAACACTTAATTGAGAAAAAAAACGGTCAACTCATCAAATATGAAAATAATGGTTAGCTGCAGCTGTACAGAATTATCCACCAATGGTTGCACACTGTGTTTTGTAAATTTTCTTTTTAGTTAGTGACCATGACCTTTAACTGATTCTGTAACTGATTAGACTTTGTTTGGTCACATTATCTTTATACATCACCTTAGTCTGGAAGGAGGAAATTATTATCACATAATGTAATTGTTATTTTCCTAATTTTCTCATAATTTATCAACAAAACAATTAACTGAAAAACAAACATTATAATTGTTAGTTAGAGCCTTAGTTTGAAACTAAAATCTTGGACTATGCTATTTTCAACCAAACATAAGTTCTCATTAGTTCTCGGAGTAATGTTGACAAAGATGACACAAATTACTTGGAATAAGCAATTACTGTATATTCAAAGTTTACCTCATGGCTGGACTGTGTTTTCTTTTGCTCAGGTAGTCAACAGTCTGGGCTCAAAGGCACACAACTATACAAACTGTTGAGGGTCTGCTTTTCCCCACTGACGTTACATTTATTCTGCAAATTTACTCTCTCCAGTGGAACCAGTGCAGTGACTGAGTGTTTATTTCCATCTGTCTTTTCCTCCAGGAAACTAATGTGATCAAATAAACACAAAACTTGTCTTGAAATGTTTCCTTTTAATCTCTCAAATTATATACACAGTTTTTTCACTGTAACCAAGATTTCCTGTCAATATACATTCATGACAATAAAAAAAGTAATATTATATTTTTTTTATTTTGTCCCCTCAACACCTCTGTATGAAACTATTGCTACTGTTGGACTGCAAGAGTTGCCAAGACAGTTTACAAATCCCTTTAGCCTTCATGAAATAGGCACAGATTGATGCAGTTAACACTGTATATCATAGAGTGAAGTAGCACTTTACAAATAAGACATGATGTACAAAATTCACAGCATGGGTACTTCATCCATCTCATGTGACACAGATAAGGCCTTGGATCGATTAGTAGACGTGAACCAACTTGGACAGTAAATTAAAAAAAAAAAAAGCAAACAAAACAGGTATATGTGAGTTAACTGCTGCCATTCATTTCAGCTAAGTGCCATCAAATGATTTCATAACTCATCAACAGTCGAACTCTACCTTTGAAGTGCCTTATGGCAAGGCTGGAGGTGAAAATGGATAAATCCTCTCTTAATTCATATTCTGTGCAAACGGCATAATATGCAGAGAGAAAGCCACGTCTTTCACCTTGGAATGGAATGCACAAAGTGTTGGGCCCTGTCTAATCTCCGAAAGAGGCCACTAGAGCTTTATCATTAGATGACTAGATTATTTTCACTTCCATTATGTAAAATAATAATGAACATGAACATCACAGAGTGATTTATCCCAATTGAAACACATGTAATTGAGAAAGAATTATGAATGAAGCAGCTGATCTGCACTGTGCACGCACCAGGGCGCACACAACACTCTTATGCACACACATCTTTACTGAGTCACACACACATCACACAACACACACCACAAAAGGATTCACTACACACACACACTACACACACACACATCACACACACACACACCACACACACATACTGCTCCTAGCTGGATATCACACACACACACACACACACACACAGATGAGTGTAAAAGTTGAATTATATAAGGCGTTGAGGTGATGGACCACCTCAAAACCTGTGGTATGAATATTTAGTTGGCAATGAATTCATGATTTGGACACTAGTGTTAAAACAAAAACAGTGAGAGCCATGAGAGCAAAGGCTTGAAGTTGTGGAGTTCTGAATGTGTGACGGAGATGACGGTCTGAGGCAGTAATGAATGTTAATGATGGGTGGACGGGTGAAGAGTGTAGTGAGGTTACACTGTGGGTTTTCTATTTCTTGATGGCGGCCACCGCTTTCTTGGCGGCGTCATCCAGGTTTTCTGCTGCTGTGATGGGCAGGCCGCTCTCCGTCAGGATCCTCTTGGCCTCGTGGACGTTGGTGCCTAACAGACAGAGGAGAACGCTGTTACAACAGGTAACAACAGAAATGACAAAAAACTGGCTTAACAAGGTTGAACCTGATCCCCCATCTGCACCGATGTTAAAAACCACGCTGTGTGAAAGACGAAGAGCTCCTTCGGAGGAATCACTCCACACTCATGACAGATGGATGGAGTTATGGGTGAGTGGTGGCAAATTCAACTGCTCGTCCAAACGCAGCTTTGTCTGTGAACTACATCAGCGAGGCAAAAGGGCAATTTGTGAGCAGTGTTTATGTGTGTGTGTGTCTGTGTGTGTGTGTCTGTGTGTGCGTGTGTGTGTGTCTGTGTGTGTGTGTGCTCCCCTGGCTGCAGAGGTCAGGGGTAGCAGGTGCTGGATGGTATGGAGGTGCCCATGGCCCGATAGGCCCGCAACCAAGCAGAGAGAGAGAGAGAGAGAGAGAGAGTGAGAGAGAGACAGAGAGAGCGAGAGAGAGAGAGAGAGTGAGAGAGAGAGAGAGAGAGAGAGACAGAGAGAGCGAGAGAGAGAGAGAGACCCGCAGACACTATGCACAACCCTGAGGCTCTACAAAGTGAACTGGCTGCCTCCCAGCGCTGCACACTGCGCAGCCAAACACAAGCCTGACAAGCCTGTCACAACACAGGGCAGGGGGCGCCGCACTGGACGGAAGGACACACAGAGCGAGGGGAGAGTGAATGAGAAGGAAGAGAGACAGCAACAGAGCAAAAGGTCAAATGAAGTAGAATCGTCTCCTCGCTGCAGCAAAGAAACAGCTAAAACCAGCGTTTGTGGCATTTACTGATTTCACACATGAATATGGAGTAAAAGAAAAAGCCATTTACAGAATCTGTCTGATCTGGTATCAGAAATCCTTCTCTCTGTTGGGTGTGAGGACTTTCATTTGTTTTTATTTTTTCATTCTTTTTAAAGTTTTTACCATATGCCACTGAAAAACTTTGTGCCAAGTGTAAAACTGAAACCACTTTTCTTTTGTCGTAGAAAAATCCAGTAAAAAAAAAACCAAACAAACAAACTATAATCTACTTCGAAATGAGTCGATCAACACAAATTTAACTGGAAACATTTTACATTTTATGATTTTTTAAAGCAAAAATCACTGGTTCACACAGATTTCTGGTTTCTGAAGTGTTGGCTGAACCAAACAATACAACTGAAAAAGTCACCACAGGTTCTGGAAACTTGTGACAGGCACTTTTTCACAATGTCTAGACATTTTCTGTAACTAATCAACTGATTGATCAAAAATGAAAATTAGCATTACTGTATGTATGTATTTAAAAATATGTAATGTGATTGCCACACTCACTCTGATCAAATGTGTTAAATGTTTGGAGGTGTGAATGTGTGTGTGTGTGTGTGTCAGTGCTTAGACGCTTACAAGTTGACCTTAGCTCTTCTCGCTGGCGTGTAATTAAGCCTGCGTGATATGTGAATTCTCCGGAGGCCAGGCCACCCTGATCAATAGACCCTTCATGAGGAATTCTATTACCAGCGCCACTTAACGCCTAATATTTCATCTCTTTTGTCCAGCCAGATAATAAGTCATTCCAAACACATTTCTGCAGGCTCACACTCCAAACAATCAATTCTGCAATGTAATTAATTAGAATAAGAGCAGGAAGAGACCTTCCTCTGGCACATAGACTGGGGATAGTGTGTCTGTAGTCATTTTCTCATTAGATACCATAGAATATTTTGTGTGTGTGTGTGTGTGTGTGTGTGTGTGTCCATACACAAATTTATAGTCTCAACTGACAATGGTGTTGCTCAAAGTGAGGAGACAGGGATGGTACTATATGTGTTACATTCTACAGGCTGACCTATGAACTTCATTGGGATTTACAGATCCATATTATCATACTGACAAGTTTATCTGTCGGATGATTACAACAAAGTTGCGACACAACAAACCTGAAACAGATGAAACTCTGGGGGAGGCAGCCACATGTGACCACAGCAAATACATAATGCAAGAGATATTCTCAAAAGACAAATATGCCTATGGAAAGTGTATATAGCTCTGAAACAAAATAAACAACACATGCAGTTTGGCTATTTTTTCATTCCATAAATATTCATGAGCAGGTATTGTGTGTGCGGCTCTGTTTATACATTGCTGCATCTGTGGTACCTGTGTTATCCATGTAATGTGTGGGGAGGGAATCACACATCTGTGGGAGTGCAAAAGAAGAGACATGCATTTATGTGGGTCTCTTTCTGCTTATGGTCAAGTGTGTGTGTGTGTGTGTGTGTGTGTGTGTGTGTGTGTGTGTGTGTGTGTGTGTGTGTGTGTGAGCTGACTGCAGTTCCACTGTGAGCGGTAGGGAGCACTAATAGCTCACAGCAGCACGAGTGCGGACAGAGCCCAGCTGGATACAACACCACCAGGTGTGTGTGAATGTGTGTGTGTGTGTTAGTGTGTGTGGAGTATGCTAAGTATATGTGTGTGTTCACCTGCAGCCACTAGGTGCTGCCAGAGACCTACTCACAGCCTGGATAGGGGCATACGGTATAAAGTACAAGGCATGCACACATGAAAGGCACACACACCAACAGAACTTTTATTTTGAAGAGAAATTCCATATGATTAACTTTAAAAAGTGGCATGAAAAAGGTGTAAACATAACATTTTCAGATTTTTACTGTTCCATAGCCCAAACTGATCACTTCTCCAGGGCTGGATGTGGTTACTCATCAGTAGCATTGAGCATGTGAAATCTCTGGATTTCATAACTTGCTGCTCCGATCTTTGTTTTCTAACAAGTGTCTATTGGATTTTCATGTCAGTCCCAGTCCACATCAACACCATTTTCCCACAGCTCTGAAAGCTGTCCAAACCGCTGAACGACAGATCAACTGACCGGCCTTACAAGACAGCTCAGCGACAAGGCTTTAAACACACTGTTCCAGCCAGAACAACAAAGGACCAAGCAGCGCTCAGTATTTTGCCTTGTGATATATTGCCACTTCACAACACATTTCCTGTTGGATCTCTGCTCTAATTAGCAAGCGTACTTGTGACTATTGTGAAAATGTCACTTTAATGTGAGTCAATTGCAGGCCACCATATTTCAACAGGATAATAAGGCTTGGGGCGGTGCCAAACAGTTGTGCTGGAGGGATTCTGTTGATGCTGCAGTTCCTAAAATTGTGACTAATTCTGCCTGCACACGCTCTGTTTACTGAAGATAAGATCTGATGAGATAAGACCCACAGAGTGACTATAGTTCTAATCGTTCCCTATAAGAAAGTGTGTGTTCTTCTACTGTAGAAGGTAAAGATCTGAAACGAAAGGATGTAAAAGCTTGATAATGTATCTACAGCTGTTTATACATTAGTTCGGTGCTGTGTCAGGTCGATGGGTTCACCCTGAACCTTGTTTTCTTGCATGAATTAAAGTGACGTGTAATTTTCAAAAGAAGAAATGAAACCATCTTCCTTCTACAGATAAAAAGCTGAATTTAAAAGCAATAAAACACATCCTTGCACAATTCGATCCACTCTTTTCTTACTTTACTTTTTCTAATATGACCAGCAGCTAAAGGTGGCTAATGTTAGCAAACTTTATCTTCGCTTTGCTGACATGGAGACTCTTCTCTACTTGTTACATGTATGTTTGAGTATTTACCTCTGGCCTTTTTCACAGCAGACATTTTGACCTGTCACAGGCAGAAAAGCACAGCTGTTACTAATAACGTTAACAATGGCTTTGTGCTGTTCAAATGGCCCAGTAAGTTATGACAGTGTGACAGCGAGCCAGCACGAACAATAATTGAGTCAACATTAATTCAATTATTTACACCTCTGCTTTCCCCACTGTGATGTGTCAAAATTTCTTGTGTGTAAAGGGCCCATTGTCCTTGTCACTTCTGGCCACAGTGGCTGGTGCTCCAAAAAAAGTTACACAGCCTTGAGTTAAGCACCTGTGCGAGAGTCGAGTATTGGGCACTTTCTAAAGAGCTTAATATTTGTGTCAATGTAGTGACAAATTGTTTTTTTTTTTTTTTTTGGTGGTAGATTATGGCAGTGAGGCAGCTCATGAGGTTACTTAGTAAAGCTAGTTTGAAATAGATGATTGAGAATCCTCATGTATCTGAACCATTTGCTCAGGCTTTATGGGAGGCCTTCAGGCTGATTACTGGTACTCTCCTTGTTCTTGATACCAGCGCAGACACCAGACTAATCTGATAGCAGACGTATTAGTGGATGTAGAGTGGATGTTTACAGGCAGCTGATATATGTAAAAAATAAATATAATTCCAAACAGTCCATAACACCACTTCATATTAAAGAAGACAGACGTTACAGACAACACCAGTGGTTTGGTGTCTTGCTATCCCTGTTACCTCAAATAATTGGTGTAAAAAAAAATGGCACCACACTCGCTCTGACTGTGGTTGTTAGTCCTCACAATAATCAGCATCAAACAGTGAGACTTTTTTCCTTCATAGCCAAAAATGGATCAGCCCTGCTCCTCCCTCCTGCGTCCGGTGTGTGGAACATCAAATGCATCTCATTTGAACGCAGAGCGGGATACCTCCTGAACTGTGCAGATGTTTTCTTTCCTTTGATGGGTTAGCCAGTCTATTAACAAGAGTTTTCATGTTTCTTATGTTGTCTAGACTGTTGTTTAACAGAGACACCCAGTATAGCTAAGTATATTAGATTTAAAGAGCATCACCGACACCGACAGTTTATAAGATTCATCTAGTTATTTAGTTTTCCATTCATGTTGACTGTGATAAAGAAACTCCTTGTAGTAACAAATCACATCACTGCTTTCTGAGGGTTCATTCTCTGAGTCATAAACGCTACAGAAACTTGATGTTCTCGTCAAAATCTGGAATCAAAATCTAGAGTCAAATTCAGACCGTGTATGTGTAATTTTATATATCTGTGTGTGTGTGTTTGTGTGTGTGTGGCTGCAGCAGCTATTTAAGCTATAATAACACTGTCAGAGCTGAAGGAGGCATCTCAACCCAACTAAAGGACCTCACGTCTCTTTTTAATCAAATGGGAGAAAAAAATGGCCAGATTTCCTTTTAAAGAGAAAACAGCCCCCACTGGTTGACAGACAGTTGTGAAATGGCTCAGTAAATCAATAGGCCGGGGAACAGAGTTAAGCGAAAGCGGTCACCTTTTTCCGTGGACCCTGAGGGCTATTTAAGGGGGATTTTTTCCTTAGTGGCAGACACAAAACAATACAGTAAGTCCATGTTCACACTGCGGCAAAAGGGGGCAGTACAGTACTTCCTCAGGTATCTCTTCTTCTGATATCTTAAATGAAGTACAAAGGTCTGTACTTCCTGTCTGTGCTGAATCTGTGGCAAGAATTTGCAATGGATGAGGATGAGCGCTAATTCTGAAGCTCACGAGCGCGGCATATTTTAGCTAGGATCGCTATCAGCCCACAGCCAACACTCTCGATGCGAACCCGATCGACTAATTCAACCCTATCAGCATCTTGACCACATGGCCCTTGTCATCCACATATGGGAATACATAGCTTTCCACCAATGCAATCAGCCCAGGCCTTTGACAAGAGGCTTCCCAATTAAAAGTGTGCCAGTTAATCCATCCTGATCCTGTTGAAGAGCGCTGGGCCGTTCTCACTGCCCTGCGGTCAGCCTAGCAAGCTGAGCTGATTGATTCTGAACCAATCTTCTCCAAAAGACTGCAGCCCAGGATGTAATGACCCACAGCGAAAGCTTGGATTAGGCCCGGGCCAGGAAAACGTGGTTGGACCAACCACCAGCAGTGACCTTCTGGACTCACCCTTTTTGGGAGTCAGGTTGAATTACATGGCGTAGTATGAGAAATGAGAAACTAATTAAGGGTCTGTTTTGATTGCCAATGTAGTCGCTTCTACAGCGACACATTTCAGCGGCTGTGCTAGCTACAAGCCGCAAGGCACATTTCAATGTAGTGCAAGTTCAGCTGTGCGCTCCATCAGCAACAGTGGGATTTGGGTTTATGCCACACACAAACAAACACACACACACACACACACACACCCTTGTTAAAGCTGGATTTTTGGTTCAGGTGTGAAATTATTTCTGACAAAACACACTGTGAACAAATTTTTTTAAAGAGGAATAGTGAAAACAACATCACACATTCTTAAAGGTGTTGATCACTGTCAAATCATTAGCAGGTGCACGCACTTCTATAAATCTTTGCTGGTGCCGGGTAACAGCTACACAAATAAATAACAGAAGCCCCATACTGCTAACTTGTTTTCAGTTCTTCTTTAATTCTGCACTGACTTTTTACAGCCTTGATACTGAAACTACTGAACATTTTAGAGTTCCAGTATGCCCATGATGTTCAATATTTAATATTCACAAATATGTGCATATATTCAATATCCATATGTTGAATATATTAGACTGCATACCACGCCATTAAGACTTGCTACTCGTGCACTTTATTACATTTTCATTTTCAACCAATCTCACCTTATGTTAAATCCTGATTATGTATGTTTCCTATTATTTTAAAATCTAATGAGTTAACATACAATCTATTTCCTTTGAAATGTATGTCCTATTTTGTGAGAGCGAATACTTGTTGATTTTTTCCGCTCTAGTTTTTCAGATAAAAATTCTTCTGAGCATATTTTCATTCAATCGTTTCAATATTTGCATTTATTTATGTTCTGGTATTGTAATGTGGATTTTGGATTTATATGCATTGTGTGATCACCCAGTAGTGAGATCATCAGCCATCTTGTAATCAATATAATATGAAATAGTTATATTGAAAATTTCCCAGTTTACGTCATCACAGTTATCCATATATCTATACAAGGTGGTTCACAGCATCACCTCGAGCTGAGGAAGACCATTTGTGGTTGAATGTTGTCAAGTCTGGCAGAATTAAAGAACTTTGAACAAGACATCAGTGTGCGGGGACTTTTTTTTTTTTTGGATGTTGATCCCTGCCCCAATTTGGTGCCTGACCTTTACTTAATTAATCTGTGTATGAGTGTATGTGTTAACAGGACTAGGACGAGGACAAAACCATCAGATATAAATATGACACCTAAACATTTCCGACCCTATTGTGCTCTAAACAGACATGTCCATACTGCACTACAGTACCTCTGTGCACAGTTGCGCTCTGGAAAGAGCTTACACGCCCTGACCTACAAACCATACTACCAGAGTGCATACAGAATACAGTGCTGAGGGCTGACACACGCACATGTGCACGCACTCTCGCACACACACACACACACACCCTTCTCTATGCTCTGGACACACCACTCAGCAGGATCTTGACAATTAAGCTAACCACCAACTGGCCCCATGCCTCGGGGAGTCACTGCTGGCATCCCACACACACACACACACACACACACACACACACACACACACACACACACATATAACTGAACAGATTTCATTAGCATATACAGGTGAAAGGTGAGCCAATCAGAGCTGTCTCTGCTGTTTTTCTGGCTAGCGCTAATGACGGGTGCGGCAGAATGTGACACGTATGAGAAATGCATCGCTGTTCATGCTGGAACAATGGGCCACAATGAAGATGGATAGGCTCCAGAGAGAACAGCCGCAATAATACAAAGGCTCTAAAGTTTGAAACAAGGTGGGAAAAAGGTGCCTGCTGTTACACAATTACACAGAAGTGGTAATATACTGGATATATTTTTCACTTCAAAACAGTAGATCAACACGGTGGAAACTGTTTTCTAGTCACGTTTACGGTGATCAACAACACGTATGGATCAAAAAGCTTGAGACAGAATCTTTCCTATACAAATTTTGTTTAAATAATCCGCTTATAGTAATCAAATACTCAGCTTACAGTGTTCATTTTGAGTCTTTTCACACATGACAACATATGGAACAAAATTTTAACTGTTATAGCCCACTACTGTTGCATACTGCTCTCTTCTAACTCATTTGTACAAGGTTTTTGGACTGACACAGAGTGTAACAACTGGTAAAGCCTGTCCCTGCCTGCTCTCCCACCATAAGTTCACTTTGTGTGTGTGTGTGTGTGTGTGTGTGTGTGTGTATGCTTGCTGTGAGCACTTGTACGCCCTGCGATATCTTCATGGCCACGGCTCACCGAGTTATTTTACCCTCCTTTCCGCTCCTGCTCTGCTCGTGTTTTGGGACTTTTATAGTTCATAATTATCCTCTTCTCTCTCTCACGGCAGCAGGTGTGTTACGTGAGTGGAGTGTAATGCTTTCACCCTGACCATTCTGATCGATTTGACTCAGAAGTGATCACTATAAGCGGTTTCCACTGTACATTTAGAATTAGATATAACTGGCTACAGTGATAAAGTGGGATCTCTGTATAAAAGGGGCTTCAGCCTCAAGATGTCCATTTCAAAGCAAACAGCCCCTAAAGATGGTGGAGGTGTGACCTTGGTTGCATAGCTTTAAGGCCAGTGTCATTATCCAGCATCATGAAATTCTCATTAAGGTCAAGTGCTTTCAATACAATCTAAATGGAGATCAATGGTCTGTAATTTGGAGAGGGATGATGGACACGCGCGTGTTTTGTGAGTGGGAGTGTCAGCTGGGACCGGCTTACTAAGAGGGTCAGAGAGGCCAACCCTGTATTTCTTTGTGTGTGTGTGCGTTCTGTGAGTGTGTGTGTACGTGCATGAATTGGAGCTGTTTTCCTACCTTCAAGCCTAACCACCAGCGGCACCTTGAGCTCCAGCTCTCGACAGGCCTTGGTGATGCCGTTAGCGATGATCGCACAGTTGACGATCCCACCGAAGATGTTGACTAGGATGGCCTCCACCTGCCACAGAGGAGACAAAGAAATGATTTAACATACTTGTGGCCAAAATGCGAACTCAATAATGATGAGATGGATGTATATTATATAACAGATGTTGCAAAATACAAAAGATGCACATCTGTATTGTCCAAAAACCACTGTGGTGGCTGAACCAAGCTTGTCCAAAGCAAACCACATAGCAGTCAATGTCAATGGCAATTTTTTTTTATTTGAAAATTTACATCAGTTTTGTGTCCAATATAGTCGTAAACACTCTTTACCACATTAGTGCAAAACTAACTGTTTCAAGCCTCACCACCAACTTTGTGTACAGTCGGTCATGCGCCCAGAGGCTATGCACCCTGAGGCGATACAACAGTGTCGCCAAGGAGGCAGAAGAAAGCGATATATTGTTTAAGTTAAGAGGCCAGCAGCAGGTGAAAGAGGCAACACTGGAACCAAATAATAAAGCAATATTTCAGTGGGAAGTGATGAAATGACAAACAACAGAAGCTGCACACCTGGCTGGTTTTCAAACCTTCTGATGTAGCTGAGCAATGTATCTTATTTAGCCTTTAAAACTGATTTACATACCATGTGTGGTTAAAAAAAAAAAAAAAAAAAAAAAAAAAAAAATCAGACTGCCTACTAAAAGAATAAAATACAATCAGGTACACACACAGTGGTCAGCAGATCAAATAGTCAGTTCCCACCCTGCCAGTGACCTTGTAATTCAAATTCACTTGTTATCTTGCCAAGTCCACATTTCCCTAACAGCTATCAAGTACAAACCTTTGAGTTTTGAACATGCTCAGTTGTTCCTCGCCGTCCGTCTTATGTTCACTTTAGCTGCAGTTTCTTTGCAAAAGCTATCTTCAACTTTCTTACAAAATGAGCACGAAACTGATATCACTAAGTAGTGAAGCAAGGCAGCTAGTGTGTGTGTGTGTGTGTGTGACTGTGTGTGTGTGTGATTACACTAACAATCTAGCAGTTGGTAATTACCCTGGCTAGCTCAGTGGAAAAGTAGACTGAGAGCACACAGGATTAATCCTCCATGTTTGTTTATAATCACTGCTAATCTGTTAGCGCCGATTTGGATGAGCAGCTTGTGGGTGTGTGCGTGCCCGTGTGCGTGCCTGTTGTGAATATGTATGTTTTCAGTGTGTGGTAATGATGTTTACAGGGAGAGAAGATCAAGGACTTGGATTGCTATCAGAGCGACAGCCATGGCATTGTCCCTACATGCTATCCAAATTAGCATCTCCTTATAAACAGCAGAGAGTGACATCAGACCAGGAGAGAGCTCGAAAGCAAACACAGATGTAGGCAGCAGCATAAAGACTCCGACGCCATGCGAAGAATTGAGCAAGCTGTTAGGTCAACACGGAGAACTGTTTCATGCTGATTAAGTGTAACATGCAGGGATGTGACCAGGAAAGCAAAAAAAAAAAAAAAAAAAAAAACACCAAAAAATAAAAGACAAGGGGAAAAGACAGTCAAACAGTAGCTGCACACTGCAACGGAACATAAATCAGATGTTCATATGAAAAACTAATGAATCATGGCCTCCAGATTACATAAGTAATAATACATGATGAGATGTTCTGATGAGGTGAAGGAGAATCTTCTTCTATAGCAAGAGACATCATGGCATGTTATCTCACTGCCACTTTGTTATCAAATTATCATCCATTCTATAGCCTTTTGTTGTAATCAGTTTAAACTAGGTTAGGCTCATTTTATCATTCATGGTTACTTGTAATTTAATACACGTACTGTGCTCATTCAAACTAAAAACTCTTAAACAAAACTATGTTTCAAATGTCTTGATACAAGATTTTAAGAAAGTCAAGCATGGTATCATTTTTCATATTATTATTTAGAGAATTAAATCTTGTTTGCTATAAAATAATTATTTTTATTAGTGCATAACTACGTCTAAGATCAATAAAAGAATGGTCAAAATCAAAGCAGTACAAGCTAAGATATCCTGACTTTAAGTTCCTTGTATGGGACAAGCTCCAAAAACACTGGATCCTACATTTCCCACAATACAACACAACAGCATCTTTCATTAGACCGTTCCTGCCTGGTAAATGCTTACATCTTTCAAACTCCATGTACCAAATTTTTAACAATTTATGTTAAAAATCAGAGGTCAGAAACTCAACTTGAGATCACCCTGACCCCATCATTAGTCTGACAAGTAAATTGAGCTTCATGTGTAACAATTAATGTAATGTCCCTTATTTTAAAGTGGCTATTAATAGGAGAAGTCGAGCCTCAAGGTATCCATGTTGTTCATCACTGCCTCTAGGACTGATACAACACTATTGATGGGATGTTGCTTCCAACACACACTCACCACACACTGATGTGCACAAGCTGCAAGTGTTGACCGGCAAACCAAGTGGACATAACCGTGGGTGATCAGAGCCTCCAGCTGTACAGTTCTACTCCAGAAAATTGTGCAGATGAAAAAAAAAAAGCTACATTCAGACTTTCTAAAGAGAGTACATGTGTGAAAATTGGCAGACAAAGAAAGAGGTGTGAAATGAGGCTGGCTTGCTGGTTCTCAAACCTCAGACGTATATGAAACAGTTCTTCTGTTACCCCGTTAGGTGTGAACTGCAGTTCAATATACGTATGTATGTATGTGTATCTATATTGTGCTTTGCCTTAGGGTAAGTGTGAGCGTGAATTCCCTCAATGCCCTGCAGAGGTGTAGCCCACAGCAGGGTGAAAAGGCCAACACTGCTGCTGCCACTAGGAATTTTGTACACAGCCCCCCCCCCCCCCCGAAAAAAAAAAGCGTGACTGGAGTTTTAAAATTATTGAACAAACCCCTGGATTTGAGTCTGTGAATAAAATGTGTATCTTTTAGCTTCAACACCACTGATCTGCAATAGATTCAAATGACTTCATACTGTAATTGTATTACAATATGAATTTTCACAAAAGCACAACAGAGCACAAACAATGGTTTCTTATTTTATGTCTGCATCAGCAAAGAGTAGACCTTGCAAAGTGCAAGTGCAAAGTGGTATGTATTTGACAGCATAAAACTGCTCCTCACGTTATACAACAGACAAGGTGCCGTAGCAAAATCAGGCACCTCTTCATGATAATCAATGTAATTACATAAAGGAGACTATACAACATGGGGTCCTGGGTGGTTAAGACTTCACATACTGTATCACAGTGTTTGCCTCAGGGTCTCACAAACACACACACGCACACACACACACACACACACACACACAGAGCGTTATCTGGTCCCCACTGGGGGGCAGCAGAGATTCAGATGGCTTTTTGCAGCCTCACAATGAAAGACTCTATTCTCGCCCCTCTGCAGCCCATTTTTCAACTCTGCCTCTGTTGGGAAGAACCATATTTCTTCCATTCATGCGTCTCCTATTGACACCCATGTATATTAATGATACATAAGACATGATTTATGTTGCTTGGCACAGAAGTAAATGCAGTTTATAGAAATATGGATGTGGCGAGGACTGAGTTACACTTCGCTTAAGTTTTTCTCTTTTTTTTCTCCCACATAATTTCTCTGTTTTAGGTTTACAAGCAAGCGTACAGCCTGAGGGACATTATTTTCCCTGTACAAACCGACAACCAAACATAAGCAGACATTTCATGTACAAGTTTTACCACTTCTGCCTATTCCAAGTAAAAAATCACAGATCAGGAGCTACAACACTTTCCACAATTGCGAGTGCACATTTGTTATAGAAAAACAAAGCTTCTTTTTAGCAAGGTAGTGGTGTGTATGGGGTTAAAATGCGGCAGTGATGAACTGGCTAAAAAAATGGGAGCCAAATGTAGGTTCAGTCTCCTTGCTTTGATGCCTTCTACAATCAGAAGTCTAACTCTGCTCTGCTCCATTCATCAGTATCTCAGAAATCCAGCCTTAAGGTATGAAATTGCATTGCACACTCCAATCCGTCTGAAATCTCCAACATCACACTCTGCAGCGTTTTACCTCGTGTCACAGAACCAAGTACAGGCTCTTTCCTTAAAGGCATTCATTTCAGGTGAGCTAACCTGGCAGCGGGGTGGATTTCTTTCATCAGAGCTCAGCATAAAGGCATCAGGTATAATGTGCCAGCTTGCTCTCTTAGAGGATCTTTGTGTGTTCTTTCAGGCAGTGTTATGGTATGAGCTGGTGCCTTCTACCTGGGTGACGGTGAAATGATTCAAATTTTACAAAATACAATCGTTGCTACCGGCATTGCGTTACCGTGCCAAGGCTCTTTTGAGTCAAAGTCAAAAAAGGGCCTTCACGGAAGAAACAGGCTTTTCTGCCTGCTTTTATACGCCCCACTAACTGCATTTAGGACAAGAAAGAAATGTAACCCAGACAATTTGACATGTTCACGTGGTCCTGTATTATACTCCTGTATCTACTCTGTGTGTTTTCATGAAATGTGGCTTCAATGCATGTATGTCAAAATATGTGCCGTTATCATGGACACTGGCGGATGTCTAATTATAAAATAATCAAATTATACAGCTACGGTCATCTGTATGGAGTGAAACATGAAGACAAAATGGAAAGCAACATCACATGTTCAGAAAGTTGTCACATTCCTTCCATAGACTGATAATAACAAACAAACATGACGTACTCTTCTCCTCAAAGTTTCAACCCGGAGGGAAATATAAGCATTGTATTCCTTCTCATTCTGCAAGGCTCCTTGTTACGGGTTGAGCGTGTGTTGCTGAATTATCACTCAAATACACATTTTCATGCCCATACCCCTGTTAAGCGCTGCTAATCTCTCTGCAGGAAAGAAAGAAAAGGGAAAGCATCTTGTTTCCTTTGTTACCAGCAAGCAGATAGGAGTAGAATAAGGCAGTGCTGGAGATGGGTGTGTGTCTCTCTGTGGCCTATTAAGGGCTATTGTTCTGTCTTATCTACTAGAGACAGCCTGTTCCGTCACTGCCTGCTCTGGCAGTCCTTGTTTATTTGTTTTCGATCTGCTGGGGGCCTTGCGCTTGGC